CCGTAAAGGCATGCGCTCTGCTTGACGACTTCACACAACTTCCTGATGGAGACGACACGGTTGTGGGCGAGCGCGGCATTTCACTTAGCGGCGGTCAGAAAGCCCGTGTTGCCCTTGCAAGAGCAGTATATGCCAGAGCAGACGTTTACCTATTAGATGACTGTCTCTCGGCCGTCGATTCGCATGTTGGCCGGCATTTGATTGACAACGTTCTTGGTCCGAAGGGTCTGCTCAGTTCAAGGACCAGAATCTTGGCTACAAACTCCATCCCCGTCCTCGTCGAATCGGATTACATCTGCCTACTCAAGGACGGCGAAATCACCGAAAAGGGAACATATCAACAGCTCATGGCAATGAAAGGATCTGTCTTCGACGTGATCATGACTGGAGGACGCAATGACTCCGGCGAGAACTCCCCTACCACGTCTACTAGCGAAAGTGGCAGCGACAGTGAGACATCCACAATTATCGAGGCAGAGAGCAGCCAAGAAAAGGACGACATGGAAGAAGCTCAAGAAGGCCTGGCTACTCTACAAGCTATCCGACCGGGACCTGGTGGCTCGTCTGGCCGTGCTAAGAGAAGGGCTGGCAGTATGGGGACCTTGCGCCGAGCTAGTGCTGCCAGCTTTAGGGGACCAAAAGCCAGGCTGCATGACGAGGAGAGTCCGAGCAGCAAGACAAAGACGGCAAAGGAACACTCGGAGCAGGGCAAGGTCAAATGGTCAGGTATGAACTGCGTGTTCCACTTCTTGAATCATGTTCGCCGGCTAACCGTGTGGGGACAGTTTATGCCGAGTACGCCAAAACCAGTAACCTTGGTGCAGTCGCTGTGTATCTGGTCAGTCTTGTCGCGGCTCAAACGGCCCAAATTGGTAAGTGGTCAACACCTTTTCTTTATTACTTAGACTTCCTCCGTCGCGATTGAGGCAGGGAGACCTGCGGTCAACTCCTCCCTGGGAACACCATCACCCCAGTTCGCTAACTATTTGTGACTCAGCTGGCAACATGTGGCTGAAGAGTTGGGCGGATCGGAATACCGAGGCCGGCGGAAACCCCAATTATGGGAAATATATTGGTGTCTACTTCGTGTTCGGCGTTGGTGCTGCTGGCTTGACGGTCGTGCAAACCCTGATCCTATGGATCTTCTGCTCAATTGAGGTATGTTTAGATGTCGCGATAGTGTACATGACCGTACTCACATCACCATCCAGGCTTCTCGAAAGTTACATGAGAAGATGGCCACCGCTATATTCAGATCACCGATGTCCTTCTTTGACGTCACACCAGCCGGGAGGATATTGAATAGGTTCTCAAGGTACGCAACATCTCGCCTCGTTTCCTTATCTTCGTCCATTCCTCTCCCCTTTTGCCGCTCCGTCATGATGTGTGACAAGTCTAGCGCGGTGCGATATGGACATGGACCAAGCAGTTTCATTTTGGTTGGAAACACCAGCTATGTCGTGCTCCCTGTGCTGTCACGAACCACTGCATCCCACTCCAGATCGGAACATTTTTGCAGGCTCTCTAAGCACGCAAGAAATGTTGTACTAATCGCACTCCCCTTTCCAGTGACATCTATCGCGTCGATGAGGTCCTTGCACGGACGTTCAACATGCTCTTCACCAATCTCGCCAGGTCGATGTTCACGCTAGTTGTCATATCGGTCGTCACGCCTGCATTCGTCGCCCTGATAATACCTTTGAGTGCCATGTACATATGGATCCAGCGATACTACTTGCGGACATCACGAGAGCTCAAGAGACTGGATAGCGTGAGCCGCAGCCCAATCTACGCCCACTTCCAAGAGTCTCTCGGAGGCATCTCAACCATTCGGGCATACCGTCAACAGGATAGGTTTGAACACGAGAATGAGTGGCGTGTTGATGCGAATCTGCGAGCCTACTTCCCTTCGATCAGCTCAAACAGATGGCTTGCTGTGAGGCTGGAGTTCATCGGCGCCGTGGTCATCTTGTCCGCGGCCGGCTTCTCCATCATTTCGGTCACTAGCGGAAGTGGACTGAGCCCAGGTGCGGTTGGTCTGGCCATGTCGTATGCTCTGCAGATCACGGGCTCACTCAACTGGATTGTCCGCCAGACGGTTGAGGTGGAGACCAACATCGTGTCTGTAGAGCGCGTCCTCGAGTACGCACGTCTTCCTAGCGAGGCTCCGGAAATCATTCGCCGCAACAGACCGGCGGTAAGCTGGCCATCCCGTGGCGAGGTCGAGTTCGACAATTACAGCACTCGATATCGCGAGGGATTGGATTTGGTGCTCAAAAACATCACATTGGATATCAAGTCACACGAGAAGATTGGTGTCGTTGGCCGCACGGGCGCTGGCAAATCATCCTTGACCCTGGCGCTGTTTAGAATCATTGAAGCTGACTCGGGCAACATTAACATCGACGGAGTGAACACGTCAAACATTGGGCTGCTGGATTTGCGACGACGACTGGCTATCATTCCACAGGATGCGGCTCTCTTTGAGGGTTCCATTCGGGACAACCTTGACCCCGGCCACGTCCATGATGACACAGAACTCTGGAGCGTGCTTGGTGAGTTACACTGGCATTGCTTTCCCCTTCTGCCATAGGAGCACTTAGCCCAGCCTTCTGCGCCCGGTTAGGTTGGTGGTGGTACACGAAACTAACGAGTTCACACAGAACACGCCCGGCTAAAAGACCACGTCGCCGGCATGGATGGCGGCCTGGAGGCTAAGGTCCACGAAGGAGGTAAGCTCACATCTCGCTTGGTATTGCCGTCACTCTGTCAGCGCTTTGCATCGGCTTTTGAATATGTGGTGAACCATCTGTCCCGTCCTTGCCCCTCCATCCCTCGGTATCGTCGAGGCGCGTCGCGGCTGTCTGCATCGCTGGTCCCCCCCCCCGATCGACAGGTGCTTGATACGAGCAGAGGTATGACGGGGCTTCGACGACTGGGCGGCATGTGCAATGGCACACACAGCCGCATACACACACCACACCCTTTCGCACATACCCACCACTCTCCCACTGTAAACCTCGGCAGCCCAAGGCTCATACTCAATATCGCCATGTTCACTTCATGTGCGGCTTCACATATTCCTGCCTGCCCCGTCTACCGTCCCTGCATGATCTCCGACGCATTGTACGGCAGGCAGCCTGTCCTCGTGGCGCCGGACGACCCGAGGTCCGAAATCTGTGATCCCCGCCATCTACGATGGTGTTGCCATGTCTTCACCCACTGCGTGTCGACCTGCCTCTCCATGATGCGCAATGTGCCGAGCAATGTGCCGGCATTAGCACAAGAGTCTGGTGTGGTATCGCAAAGTTGCGAGATTGCTGTTTTGAAACAATGCACGAAGCCCATGTGGAATTACGTCAGGGGCATCATATGTGGTTTTGTTCCCTTCACCAACGGTTCCTATGCTAATCTGCGCTTCGCAGGATCGAATCTCTCGCAGGGCCAACGGCAGCTCGTATCTCTGGCGCGCGCCATGCTGACACCGTCCAACATCCTGGTTCTCGACGAAGCCACGGCTGCCGTTGATGTGCAGACGGACGCCCTGCTCCAGACGACGCTGCGCAGCCCTTTGTTTGCCAACCGCACCATCATCACCGTCGCGCATCGCATCAACACCATTCTCGACAGCGACCGCGTCGTCGTCCTCGAGAAGGGCCAGGTCGTCGAGTTTGACACCCCCATGGAGCTCATCAGACAGAGGGGTGTCTTTTACGGGCTTGTTAAGGAGGCTGGGCTGGATACTGAGTGAATGTCCGACCCCAGTTTTGTTTTGCCCGTATGTTTGTGTGTGTGATAGTACAGCAGTAGCAGAAGCATCATTAGCATGGAGGAGCAGGCATGTTACTTTTTTCCCTTCTCTTTCGAAGCCACAGTTTTGTCATTTCATCGAGAGAGAAAGGTCTGGCTCATGCAAGGAGAGCCGAGGCGGGGCATGGTCAATCAATACCTAAAGGGAGCGGCGATGTGGGTGGTGTCAACAAAGGTCAAAAAAGCGAATACATGAAAGGAGGTGTGGTGAAAGGCTTAGGCCATGTAGGTTGTAGGTTGCGTGGGTGCGTGTGGCTACGAGATTGTCGAGTACAAAGTGTACACTTGTTGGGGTGGCAGGCGAGGTAGTGGCCATGTAGATACACAATCCATGCTTTGTTCATTGGAGGCGGGAGGGGGGTAGAAAAAGCGTTGGATTCGGAAAATCTTTTAGTAGCTGTTTTTTTTTTAATATTTTCAATCCATCATTTGATCATGCCCAACATGGCGGCGGCAAGGCAAAAAGAAAAAGACCTCATTTCCTCCACGGCACACACACACAATGAATCACAGAGGTACGGGGTTGTGTGGCCGGGGCAACAGCGTGAGTAATCTCGTGATCACCAGGAGCTGCCGTGTATCCCTAACCTCCCCACACTTAGCCCCTGGAGCGTTGGGGGTGGGACGGGGGATAGACGGGATGGAAAGAATGGAGCAGGGGCAGGTGGTGCTTGTTTTCAATGGGGAGCTACACTAGTAGCTACCCCAAGCGAAACCGACTTTTGGTTCCCTGTTTCGATTTGGAATTGCATGTGCATGTCTGGCTTTATTTTTGATGCCTGCTATCTATCTTGCTCCGGTCGTTTCGTCGTCGGGCTAACTAGATAGATGTGCGCCAGCCAGTTGCAGCATGTCGACCAGAGGCGCGGAATGGGGCGCGGGCGATGATGGGTGCTACGGGTGAATGGATGGGGCCGGTCAGCTTCAGCTTGGTTCCTGCTACTCCTGTGTGTCTGTGTTCGTGTCTGTGTTTGTGTGTGCGTGAGTATGTAAGGTGAGGTGTGGGTGGGTGCGTGTGCTTGTGCTAGTATGTTCCTGTGGTTGAGGTCTCCCAGTTTCCCCCCAGCTCCCATGTGGCTCATGCAGCGGGAACTCCAAGACGCGGACGAGTCAGGTCAGTTAGAGGTGGGGTCCCATTCTTGAGCGAAAGAAAGTTTCTGCATCCCACAACTAGCAGCTACAACCGCTCATCGGGTATGGTGTAACGGTAACATTTCTGACTCTCAGCATCTCTAGGGATTGAGCACTCAGGGGCCCGGGGTTCGATTCCCCGTATCCGAGTAATCAGTTGCAACTTCGACTTGAAAATTCTGTTTTGTTGCAGACGCTTTCTTTTTGGGGCGTTTCTTTCCTACAAGCAAGCTATAAGCGCTTGTTGCTAATTCTCATGCAGGCCATTGCGCAAACTAGCCGCCTCCCCGTAATCTTAAAAAATTGCCGGCCGGAAAGTCGACGGATATAATAGCTCTCTGCAATAATGCGAAGGAGGGCCTGCCTGTGTAACCAGCGGAAGCTGCAACGGGGCAAAGGGGCGGTCAGAGCTTAATCGACGACGGCGGCACAGCAGGAAGAAAGCCCAAGGTGTCCATCCGCCGGATCTTTCTGCTAGGTGTCGGCAGGGCTGAGCCCAGGGCGTTCCGTCCCTCGCTCTTTTGACTCGTTTCTCCCTTGGGCCTTCAGGGGGGTGGGGGTCTCGAGCCGCTGTGGTTCGATTCTCTTCTCTAGTCTTTTTGCTGTGCCTCATGGCCGCAGGCAGAACTCCGGGCAGGCAACGTGGTGGATATTGCTGCCATATGGGTAAGGGCCAGCGTGAAGGATGTAGGCAGGAGGGAGGGGTGATATTGCTGATGACAGGATAGAATGAGATGGGGTGGCATGGGGTTGGCAAAGTCAATATGTCAGAAAGAGGCACATACTCCACACCCACAACGAGCATTTTGATAGAGGAACGAGAAAGACATGGGCGAGATGGAGCGGGAAGGGCTTGAAGAGTTGCAGCTGTTCGAGTTACACGACAGCACTGCCGTCAGCTATCGAGTAAACACAAGTTGATTCTAGAAGCAATAAAACCAGAGCACTACCCCATTTCTGACGGCCAGCGGGAGGTGTAAGTTTGGACGGAGGTGCCCCATGTAAGATGGTATGCTTGTGCGTGAGAGAGTTTGATGCAGGTGTAAACACGGGGTTGCTGCCGAGAAAATTGGTTGTGGCAGCCACCCCGCCGTTCTCACTTACAACCCAACGACCTGAAGCCAGGAGACGGAAGCTCCGAGACGTAGATCTGGGCAGGCCATGCTGACGGCATGTGGACGGCGGCTGGATTACCGTAAACAGCACCCCCTTCTTTCCTCTCCCAACTTTGCCGCCACTACAATAGCCGACCATTAAACCGGGATAGCGGAGGGCTACTAGTTGAGGTAGATGGCCGGCTCCCTCGGACTCGTGCTGACCGCTGACGCTCCCTCGAGAGCTGACGACATCCGCACTGTACGGTACCGGTACCCTCCGCACAGATATGGCTCGGCCGCTTGGTCCAAGCGGATCAACAAACTGACGACAGAATGCTGGCTTGCGACCAGACGGGGCACGAAACAGGCAGCGGCAGAGATGCCCAACAGATGCACCGAAATGCACTGTACGCGTGCACCTGGAGTGTAGTAGGGGCAGGGCCGCATCACAACCTCGGCCAGAGGGGCACAGCCGCCCTGGGCTAAGCCCCAGCGCATCAAAACAGTTCCTGGCACATTGGTCCTGGGAGAGGGAGGACGCTACGGGGGCCCGTCCTCCAGCATTCAACGTGACAAAGCGGCGGCACAAGTTGGTGAAGCTATGCAACAGCCAGCAGCTGATAGTGCACCAGTAGCCACGCCACGCAGCTGGCGGCTGCTGTGTGAACTCGACACGCTGGAGTGGCGCCGATATATTATCAAGCCACTAATCTTCGAAGGCCTTCCTGGCATTGTTGGCTGCGAAGTGTGATCCTGCGCAGGAATTCAACGTCTCCCGTCAGTGCACGTTGCGTGCTGTGCGTCCGAGGAGAGCCGGGGCAGCCGGGGCACTGGGCGCGGTCTCAACCTGGGCATCTCGGTGACTATAGATTAATTAGGGGAATGCTCCAAGGGCAATCGAACCGGAAGCTGCCGTTGAGCTGGTAGCCTGAACCTAAGGCGTGGCTTGGGAACTTACCAACGCGAGAGTGTCGAGAGAGCACTTGCTTGTCGCAAGCACTCCCAACGCGTCTACGACCTAAAAAGAGCTGGACAGCGAGTGTCTGAAGGGTATGGCTGCAGTGTCCATGCATCTTGGACCAGAAGAGGACGGCTGACTAGGGTTAAATCCCTGTCGGACCGGAAGGAGCAACGTTGTGTAACCCGACATTTTGGCAGTCGGTTGGACGCCGTGCCCTACCCCAGCTCGGGGCTTGCGAGTCCGGGGGCGGCGCCGCCGCAAAAGAGGGGTCGGCATGGGGGATGGTCGCGGCGGAGGGAGGTAATTTGGCACTTTCGCATCCCATCATCATCGCGACAGGAAGTGGTCTACAAAGTTAAGATACGATGCATACGGAGTACGCCTCTGGTCTCTCTGGCTCAAGCTTGTAGTTCAGCGGATAGAGCCTGGAACCCGAGGGTAGGGCATTAAGGTTACTGTGCCTTGAGACAAGTTTTGGTCTCGAGGCACAAGAATTCCTTGTGTTGCTGTCGTAGTAGTCAGCGTGATGTGATCGCTCGATGCTGATTTTGTGGTGCAGGATCAGCTTCAGGTTCCCGAGCTGGTGATGCTTGCGGGGAGGTGGCACCGAAAAGCGTGGCATCCAACCCCATTCGTCCCTGCAGAAGCCCTCGGCCTAAGACGGCGTTCTGCAGCACGAGCTCTGTCAAGAGGTGCTGTTGCGTGTGATGGCGAAGGTGATGAACAAGCCACCGATGGCATCCATCTATCAGAGACTCCAGTCGGACGGCATTACTCTCCCTAAACACCTTGTGGCAACTGGGGTATTCTTGGCGCGCAGCAGCCCCCAAACCCAAGCGCACAATCCTGCCTGTGGCATTGCGGCACGGTTGTCAGTCAGTTATTTGGGGGCGGGCCGGTTCTTGAAGAATGGTGACAGCCGACCATCTAGTCTAGCCGTTTCGTCTTGAGACCTCGCTGACAGTTGGAGCGTGCAAGAAACCTCGCATGGCCCTGACGATGCACACCGCCACTCATCAGCAGAAAGACTAGTACGCTGGTCTTGCGATTCAGTTCCGAGATTATGAGCATCACGTCTGACAGCTGATGAGATGGCGTTGCGCCCGCGCAGGCGTGATCACCCACCTGGGTGGGAAACTAGTAGTTTTGCCGCAGCTTGGGATGCCAACCTGCGCGCCCTGTGTTGTCTTGCACTGAGCTGCGCGCGAATGGTTGATTCAGATTTCGACATACAGGGCGCCGCCATTCACCCGCCAGAAATAGATAGGCTGCTGACACGCTATCAGCCAGGAAAGTCTCCAGGTAGGGGACATCGGATGGCCAACCGAAGGAACACGGAAATGAAGCACAGCACGAACCGTGGGAATAGGCCACCGTTATCTCACGGAGTTGGACGGAGGGTTGCACTTGTACCCCGTAGATTGGGGGGAAGTCCCAGGCGTGCGGGTCGAGGATGTTCTCAAGGTGGGTGCACGCAAGAGGCGCGGTCGAGAGGTGTGCCGAGACAACACACATATGGCAGCCTGGAGGGGACTGTGGGGAGAAACAGTATTCGCACGATTGAATCTGCGGAGGCCGTTTGCAGGTTTCACTGAGACTTGCTCGTGATCGATTAGTTCGCGCAACCCAGCATCCCTCCTCCTCTTCGTCATGTACCGCCTAAAACGGATTCCAAGCTGGCGCAAAGAAACTACTCCTCAGCGAAAGTATGAGGGTGCTAGGCCTAAGGGTTCCCGGCAATCTGGTAATGGCGGGCATCAGAAAGGCTGTCATATATGAGATGTCAGAGAGCACGCCAGAGTGCTGCTCGTCAGCGCGTCGGGCAGGTCGCCGAGGCACTGAGTCGTGCAGCAGATCGGGACCGGGACATTGGGACCGCCCAGAAACGACGCTCACCGCCGTGGCATCCGTGGTATCCGTAGTATCCATGACATCCGTGCCATCCACAGCATGGACCGCGTGGCATTGCGGGCATGGGCGCCGAGGGTCGAGGGAGACTGGAGACCAGAGAGGGTCAGTGTGCGCGATAGTGCACGGTGAAAAGGCTAGGGTGAAGCATCCAAGCATCGTCGGGATGCCGTTTTCGTACACCAGATCAGGAGTCGGCAATTGGAAAGGCTGTCCTCCGAGATTGGAGATTGCAACCCATAGCCTAGCCTAGATTATGGCGACATGATCCATGTCTAAAGCAGAATAGCACTTGACCTAGTCGAGTATTAGAGGATCCGTGGAGGATCCATGGAGATGTTGATGCAACGATGAGACGGGGCAGAGGGCAAGAGTGAGAAAATCTAACCAGACCAAGATACCCATGGGCGCTGGGGCCACAGGGCAGCGGGAGCTGGAACAGGGCAGCGCAGGAACGACAGCTGTAATGCGGCACGAGCCCCTCCCCAGAGTTGGGTAGTTGCCTGGACCGCAACTTCCCAGGTTGGAGGCGTGGGGGTTCTGTGGGGTCTGTGGGCAGTAAAACGGGTGATTATTATCTTTCGCTTCATTGAAGTCGATAATTTTCCGACCTGCTCCCGGGAAGGCGCGATGCACTACGTATCTCTAGTTCATGTTCATCCGCCGCGAATCGGAGGTATAATCAGGTGCAGCCCCGGGCGCTCCTGCTTCAGATGAGACAGGCCACAGACCTCATTCCACGCGAGCCCGTGTTTCGGTTCATCATCTGGAATTTGCCCGGTTGGCCCTCCTCTGTCATTCGACGTGAAGTGATACTGCTGTATACTTTGCCTCGTCTTCGCGCATCGACATTGACAAGTATACCACAGCCATGACATCTAGACCAAGCTATCCTACCTCCCCTTCCTACCCCAAGGTACGTAGTATGTGCGTCAATGTGATTTTGAGCCGCTTTGCTTCATCTCTGATCGCTGGGCCCCTTCTCCTGGCTTGTGAGTGGCTGAAGCTTCTTCAAGGTGCCGTGTCGTGTTCCCACATCATGCTAAACGAGGCTCTTTTCGTCGAAATGCATCCTTACCTACTGCGAAGCGCATCCAACCATCGAGGCCAAAGGGTCTTTTTGAAGCCTTGGGCCTAAGAGACATGCAGAGGCAAAAAAAAAAAAAAAAAAAAGGCCAGCATCG